CCCATTATAAAGATTCTTACAACTGGGGAAGAGTTTCTAAGGCAAACACTAGACACAGTAGAACCCCGCACTCCCTGTGTTATAGGACATCCAAACGGCATGTGTGCTAAAATATAAAACTGAACCCAGAAATGTTACACAACCCCAAGAGACAAATAAAATTGTTCCCACACCAAGGCCATCCTCTATGGGCCAGCCATATTTCTTTGCCCGAAGGATGCCTTTTCGCTTGTGAACAATCCACCTATAACTCTATTCCTGTTAACTTGCCTCACAATGCCCACTGATATTTAAGGAGACTATTATTTTTCCAGCAGTCCAGGAAAAAAACAGCCTGATAAGACACTGATGTCAGAGATAGAGCAAGCCCCTGACTAATAATAAAATAGCTCTTGTCTCAAAACCTGAGACTGTGGCCATCACCCTCTCTGCAAGAGGTCTCCTTAGTCTGGCTGTCTACAATAACAAGGATGTATACAACAACTGGAAGACCTGTCAAACAGCTAATGGTTTAAACTATACCCCCACAGAACAAAAAGAATAGGAACAGGTTATAATAATTAACAGGGCTGCTATTAATTTCCTATTGGTAATGTCCCACAATGATGCTGAGAAGTTAGGGAAATGTGCTGTGTTCATCTGACAGTGGCAATTTGATTAAAGAAAAAAATCAGTTACAAAAACTTGCAGAAAGAATTACTGAAGACACGGTCTGGGATCTGAGGTCTCAGATGCTCAAGTCCAGGATCAGAGACACAAAGCTTTTTTACCGGTCCCTGCAGATCAAGATGTAGAACTCTCCACTCCTTCTCCAGCACCATGTCTGCCTGTGTGCCACCATGCTTCCCACTGTGACGATAATGGACTAAACCTCTGAACTATAAGCCAGCCTTAATATTGCTGGGGTCATTGTGTCCCTTCACAGCAACAGAAACCCTAACTAAGACACACACAAAGTAGAATTCAGCTAAGGGAGCACCACCTCCAAAATACAGCCTGTACAAGTAGGATGCTAAAGAGGCCTCTCAGAGCAAAATTTAGGATGCAAAGATGTGAATGCTATTTACCGGGCTTGACCGACCATCCGGCACGGCACTGACTGAACAACCGCCCATTAGGCCTATCCTCATACCAAAGGCCACGCCTCTAACAGGCAGCTCAAGGGAGCAGTTCTCTTCTTGAGAAAAACAAAATTCTGCCAGGAAGGCAAGATGACCCTGAGTGGCAACTATGTGAAAGAAATAACGCTGTGTAAATAGAGACTGCTCATTCGTTTCCCGGCTGCCCAGATCCAAATAAACACACAGAAACTATATTAATTACAACACTGTTTGGCCAATGGCTTAGGCAGATTCCTAGTTAGCTCTTACATCTTAAATTAACCCATTTCTATCCATCTGTATATCACCATGAGGGTGTGGCCAACCAGTAAGGTTCCGGCGTCCTTCTCCTCTGGCAGCTACACTGGTGTCTGCTTGACTCCACTTACTCTCTCTCTATGCATATATATCTCTGTCCAGATTTCCCACCTGGGTTTATTCGGCTATATGCCGAAGCAGCTTTTTTATTAACCAATGGTAACAAAACATATTTCCAGCATACAGAGGGGAATCCCACATCTCACACTGTTGTACTTAAAAGAATTCTTGAATCTACTGAACCACCCAGCTCCCTGAAGCAGATCTCGAATACATTCTACTCTAGTACAAGCCCTTTTACAGGCAGCAGGACCCTCTTAACTGTGTCCCTTGGGGTGACCAGATGGACGACCATGAGTTACAAACTGCACATGGGACCATGGCAGAACTGTTTGGTAGTCTCTCCCACAACCTACTGCCAGAGGACTCTTCCCAAGTCCTTCCACGTCCTCAGCAGGCTCTCATACAGGATTTCACGCAAGCTGTTTCCACATCCATCTCATCATTTACTCCTCCCCTGAATACACAGCTGAGTATCACCTCCCCCAGGAAGCCTTCCAGACTTACCCGGAGTGCAAGGACCCCCTAGGCAGGACTTTCCTAGCTCCATGCTCCTCCCTCCCTCAGTCCCTCCCCCACACTTCTGAAGTTCTCTTTTGCAACTTTAGGCTTCTTGGTGTGAGTACTTGGTTTGATAGGTAGTCAGAGAAGAAAGGGGAGACTTCTGCACTCTCCACTCCAGCTCACGTCCGCAGACACAAATAGTAAAAGCAGCTGACAATTAGAGACCTACATGACAAGTACAGTTGGAAGTGTTAGGAACTGCCCACACTCCAGAGCCAGGTGAGCCCCCCCCCCCTCAGCCTGCCTGCAGTGACCCAGCACCAGCAGCCACCAAATGCAACACATTTCCTCTGTCGCCATCAGTCCACACCACCATGGCCCTCTCTCTGTCTCTGTCTCTTGTCGTCCTCCCCTCCCCAGCTCAGAGGCAGCCTTTCATGCATGCCTTTCTCTCATGTGAGATCTGTTGCATAGTGTACTCTTTTGCAGCAAAACCCTCACACTACCTCCCACTTTTTTTCATCTGTATTTCACAATGACTTTACAAGGAAAATACTGTTATTCTTTTCATAGAGAGAACTTAGGAATGACGATTCTGCTAGTAAAATATACTGTCCTCAGCCCTCAGGCAAGTTAACTGCAGAGGCCAAGAACTGACTGCTACCTAATACTCTAAACAGTCGCTGAAAGAATGGATGCATGCTTGCATCGCATGCTGGGTGAACAGATGCATGCCTGCATCATGTGCTGAATGAATGGATGCACACCTGCATCACATGCTGGATGAACAGATGCATGCCTGCGCCGCATGCTGGGTGAATGGATGCACACCTGCATCGCGTGCTAGATGAAAAGATGCATGCCTGTGTTGCATGCTGGGTGAACAGATGCACGCCTGCATCACGTGCTGGATGAATGGATGCACACCTGCATTGCATGGTGAATGAACAGATGCACACCTGCATCGCATGCTGGGTGAATGGATGCACGCCTGCATTGCATGCTAGATGGACAGATGCATGTATGCATAGTTTTTAGTCCATCTCACATGGAAGCAGAGGACAGATATCAATGCTCCTTAAGGTGCTCCCAGCTCAAGGCAGGAGAACAAACATAGGGGACCCTAACTCCATACCAGAATTTCCAGATGTGTTAATCTGAGTAGCTGGGAAGCCCAAGCTCACCCCACCACCACCAGGCAATAAGAAACCTGTCACCCTCTTCCTTCAGGCCAGTCCAAGCTCGGAAGAATCTCTCACTTCCTGTGTATCTCTGCCCTGTCAATCCCTTTTTCAGCCAGGCCTCCCTGTTAATATTTTTCCAAATCCAGCCCCTTTGGAGTCAAGTTCAGAGAATCTTGTTAACCAAACCATTTCTTTAACATTTATCTCTTTCATTGTTTAAAAAAAAAAAGTGATACAAAACCCACAAAATGTAGGGTTAGGGAGATGTTAAAGTGCTCGCTAGCACCCATGAGAAAAAACAAGAGCTTGCTCTTGTAACTTCAGAGCAGGGGAGGCATAGAGACAACCTTGGGGTTTGTGAGTCAACAAGTGTAGTTAATTTGCAGCCCTGGGTCCCTGTGAAAGATCTGTCTCAGAAAAATAAAAGAAAACCCCCTAGGTAGAACAATAGAAACACTGAAAGTACCAGGACACTGGAGACAGCTGCCAGAACAGAAATTAAAAAGATAATAACACAAAGGGTTAAAACCGGGCATTGTAATTCAAACAGATAACTCTCGGCAGTAGAGAGAGGAGAATTGAAAGTTCAAGGTTAGGCTGGACAGCATAGCAAGATACTGTCCCCAAAAATAATTTTACAGGGAAAAACAAGAAATAAGTTTGCATGCACAGCAGTTCTGTTCCTTGCCCCCCCCCTTCTTTCAACTGTGGGCCTCAAATAGAAAGAACTATACACAGGAAGCAGTTCAGGGCCAGCTGGATGGTCCTACAAGTCAGAAAGAAAAGAGAAAGAGGTACGCTTCTTTCCTTTGCTATGGACACATCACAAGGCTGGCCAAGGGATCACTGTCCCTACTTCAGTGACGTATCTGGGACCCAGGAGATCAAGAAACTGATAAAGCTGGCACTTTTGATGTGGACACACTCAGCACTGGGGCCCTGCTGCAGGAAAGAAAGCAGGTTCCACTCCAGCAAAGTGCCGGAGGGGCTTTTCTGATGCTATCCAGGCCCTGGAGTGCTAAGAGGCAAACAGAGATTACACACATACAGAGAAACAGCTAAGGGCCCAGCGTTTGCTCAGGAAAGAGCAAACCTCACTGCCAAGACTGGAGAGGTCCCAGCACAAAATTTATTTATTTAGAGATGGCGTCTTAATCCTGTCTCAAATCTCCTGGGTGGCTGGGACCAAGGCTGGGACCACATGCGCATAGCGCTGTGCCTGGCTACGGGCTGTGTAGAATTCAACTTTCGTCACTATATTTAGTAACAGGACTTTTGGCAAGAGCATGTCTAAAGTTCCTGCTGGCGTTGAGAAAGCAGCATGTCTACTATTCAGAAATACTTTGGGGAAGGACTGAGGAAACTTATGAAGTAATGTGTGGATTCTGGTGCACAGCCTAAAGACTCCTGGGGTGCTGGGGCTGTGTCCTATGCTGAGCCATGTTTTATAGCCCAGCTCGAGCTCAGGGTATATCCCTGCTTACTTTTCACAGCCTTCTTCCGTCTCCTTCCTTCTCCCCTGGACAGCCTGTGCTCCTCTGTCTCTTGTCCAAAACTACAGGCATGATTGCCTGGTTGCAAGAAAAACCCGAACCCCATTTCCCTAGGTCCTAGACAGCTCCATCAAAGCACACTATCAGAGTGGAGACTATCTTAAGGACACATCACAAGGCTGGTCATGGGGTCATGGTCCCGTCTTTGCTGGTATATCTGCGACCCAGGAAGTCTAGAGACTTAATCAAGCCCGGCAGCTTTGATGTGGACGCCCTCGGCACTGGGGCCCACTCTGTAGCCGTTTTCCTCTGGTGCACTATCTGCGGAAGAGAACTCTTACCTGAGAATTCATCAGGCGGATGGTGGTTTTCGTGCCCACATCCTGTTGAAAATTGGCTATAGGTGCCCCATTAAACCTCAGGACTGCATCATGATTATCTGTAAACCACAGGACACGGAAAAAGGGGGGTGAGTGCTGGCAATATGTAGGAAGACAGAAGAAGGGGAAGGGAGGCATAGGGGAGATCAAAATATACGCCGTCTATCTCATGACACACAGAGGAGGTCGGAATCGTGAGTGCAGTACCTGACTGCCAGCCACTGCAGGAGCAACAGCGTCCGACCACTGATTATGAAGAGCTTTCACTAGCACCAGTGTGCTGGGACACGGCAGAAAAATGAACAAGGCCAACGTGCTATACTCATCTGAGACTCCTTTCTCAATTGCCAAAGGACCAGACTACACACACCCTCGGCATCACCAGTAGATCGTGTTTCTAGCCCCGCCGGATTATGTTGATTCTGTATCGTATGTGCGAGGTATGTGAAAAGTATACAACGCTTAGCACCTACAAGGGATTCGTTACGTCACCCAAGACAACCCTGAAGTACCTGTTCCGTTTAGGAACTGAGGCCCACAAGTCTGGTGTGGTGGAAATGGGACAGGTCATAGTGATGCTTAAATTCCCAAACTGCAGGGTTGTGCTTTGCTCTTTAATTAAATGCTTTGCTAGAAATCCTATACTTCATTAATTTTAGTCAAGGTCAGACAGACCATCTCAAAAACACACACTTACTCCCTGGTCCCTGCCTTCTTTAAGCATGATTTGCCATGTTTGCGCAAGCCTCTGAATCTAACATTTGACTCATCTGATGGAGGTGACAAGCGATGGCTTTTAGGTACCATCCCCATCCCTAGCCTCTGCGATCCTATGAGAGCTCACCCCAACCTCACTTCTCAAACAGGGTTGGGGTTTGTTAGTAAAACCTGCACCAAACTGGAGACCATCCATTGTTTGAGTATTTGGTTAGGGCTACTCAATATTTACACAGGTCAGATGAGAAGAACAAAAGGCCTTCAGTTCTATTGGAAATGACCTGTGAAGGAGACCGTCTCCAGAATTAAGCAACACAAGTCCTTATCTTTATTGCAATTCCTCTATTTTTTTCTAACCCTCAGGAATCCAGACACCTTATTCACGGGAACAGTAGAACTGGGTTCCTAGACAACATGCCTTCGGATTGGTCTGGAAATGATACAGGATGAACATAGTCCAAATCTTATCCGCTTCCAGGCAGTGCTCTGCCGGGAGGGCGCAGGTCCACCTTACACAACACAGTCCAGATAGGTTCCTCAGAACCAGGCACGGGGTCGAAAGTAAGCAGTAGAACCCGCAGGAAAAGCAGACCTGTGAGAAACTGCACAGCTTTCCCAGTCAGTTCCCAGGAGGAAGGCAAGTGCTGTTTACAAAGCTGTGTTTGAGGAAACCAAACTAACACCTTGGGCTGCCTGCAGATGTTTCTACCCCAAGGGATATCACAGCAGGAGGAGCTGAGGAAGATCACTGTCACCAGTTGTACGCTGCGGGAGAAGAGCACCCTTCTGCTAACATCCAGCCACCTTGGGGATCATCTCCTCTCCTCTGCCTCATCCACTGATCTCACGGGACTGGAGGGAAATGAAATCAAAAGCGGAGTTGGAAAGTCCCATCTGACAGGAGCTGAGACTTTCTGATCCCAGAAAACAACAGCCAGAGGTCACTGTGGGGGCACTAAGTGACCCTGAGCTGAGTCCCACCTTCCTCTTCCCAAATACAAGCCAGTGCTCCCCTGAGCTAGTTCCAGACAAGCCACTGACACAGTTCAAAATTGCAACTGGTATTATTTTTGTGGCTACTTTATAACTGTAGCTTTGCTGCTGCTACGAATCGTACTGTAAATATTTGTGTTTTCTGATGGTCTTAGATGACCCCTGTGAAAAGGGTCATTCCCTCCCCCACCTGCCAAAGGGGTGGCGACTCATAGGTTGAGAACCATTGGGCTGGGGACAGGGAAATGAAGAGAAGAAAAAAAGATGCGCAGGTCAGCACAGAACAGCACAGGACGGGGCATAAAATCTAGGGAAGAAAAAAAAAAGACTAAAATCCAAAGTTCCAAAGTCCTTATTGAGTCTGTCACTTCTCACCACTGATAACTGTGATTCCCGGAGCTCTTTCTGGCCCAACCACTCCCCCTTCTCCACCCCCTGGCCCCCACAATCCAGCACACTCTATGTTCTCCCTACAGCTTTCATTTCTTGATTTTGCCGCAGGCCGTTGTTTTTCTTTCCACTGGGGAAGCAAGAAGAGATTAACCCAGCCAAATTCACTTGAGGCCAATATCATTATGAGACGTAAGAGAAGAAGGACCAAGCAAAGTTATCTTTGGGTCATGTGACCACTTTCAACCCCTACTCTGTTGACAAGCAAGTTGTGCAAATCTTTCAGCCTCCACAGTTAACTCTCAGGAACTGCTAGGCGTCTAAGCCAGCAGGTACTGCACAAGGCATAGCCAGTTGACAGCCCAGCTCGTGGGGATGGGGGTGGGGGTGTCCCTAGCTGAAAATCTGTGAAGAGCTCATGGCTTCTAGAGGAGAATGAGTCAGTTTTCTTTAAGGGTGTAGCCCCTAGTGAGTAGAAGCTGCAGTGGATGGCCGGCCCCACACCCATGAGCATGTGAGCAATACAAACTGGAACGCAGCGAGTTATTAAAACAAGAAAAGCACTAGAAGTTAGGAGGAGCCAGGGATGGATCTAGCAGGGGAGGGCAGGGTGTGAATATGTTCAAAATAAACTATGTGCATGTACGAAATTCTCAAAGCATGAACAAAAATATATTTTTGAAACTAAGGGGTTGGAGAGATGGCTCAGCAGTGAAGAACACTGAATGCCCTTCCAGAGGATCCAGGTCCCGTTTCCAGCATCCACATGGCAGTCCACCACTATGTGTGTAACTTCAGTTCCGGGGATCTGATAGTCTCCATGGGCACTAGTCAGGTACATAGTACATAGACATACATGTGGGCTAAACACCCAGACACAAAACTAATTTAAAAAGAAGATAAAAGCAGGTATGCCAAGCACATAATGAGTACACAATGTATTATTTCTATTGGTGATAGTATGTTAAAAATAGGCTATTATTTGAAATAAAATTCTCAACTTACCTACATAGCTTATACACATTAGTACACTATCAATAAATAATAACAATTTATAATAATAATAATAATTAAAGGATCCAATGATTATGGAGCCACCATAGTCTGATTTGTGGAAGTAGGAGTCTCTCTACTGAACAATTTTGTCATGGATGAAAAGAGAGCCACCAAAGCTCATGATGTGATGACCCCAATCATAAAATTATTTTCATTACTACTTCATAACTGTAATTTTGCTACTATTATGAATTATAATGTAAATATCTGGTCTGCAGGATAACTAATATGTGATGCCGCTGGGGGTTACAACATGACAGAAATCAATTACGTTTTGTTTCTAGAAGGAAGTCCAAAGAAACCAAAAGGGCAAAAACTAAAGTTGGGGTGGGGCTGGCCATTTTAGGGACCTCATTAGAACCACTACAGACTGGGAGAAAATGTGATTTCACCTCCTACTCTAGAGAATCCAGTTGGGTCTGCATTCCTTCTTTGCAAGTTTATCCCTGACTTCAGGCCGTTCTCCCTGACAGTCACCAAAAGGAAATTAAAAGGAGTAAATGACCTTCTCCAGGACCCCAGCCTGATGGTGAGACTTTCTCTATAGCCAGAGTTCTCTCAGAATAACAGAAATAAATGGCTTTGCCCAAATTGGTTAGCTCTCAGTTGCGGTCTGCCAATGTGAACAGACTTTGGCTCTTCATTAGCCGCTAGGGGTTCATGAAGAGCAAGCCAGTGTATTCTGACGTGGGGTCTCTTTCCATCACAGAGCCCTCTGAGAATCAGGCACAGGATTAGGAGAAGGCAGGCAGGCTTGCAAACACCTAACCGCTGGGTAGCTTTGCCGGCAACTTTCAAGAATCATGAAACATCTGGTGCTAGTCTATAACCCTCACCCCCACCCCGCTTTAGGAGTTCCCGCTGGAAGGTCTACAAGGACTCATCAGCTAAAGTCACTCACTGCCCAAGTCTGGGAACCTGAATCTGATCTGCAGAACACACATCAAGGTGACAGGAGAGAACTAACTCCATGAGGTTGTCTCCTGACCTCCATACCCACACCCAGTACAGACACACATGTGTGTGCATATGTGTGTGCACACGCGCACATACACACACGAATTGCTGCTGAGTTAATATATATTTTCCCTTTTTTCTTTTTAAGAGAAAAGGTGAAAATTAGCCAGGTGAGACTTAGCGGAATTTATCACACAGCAGACTCGTGACTCAGACAGCTCAGGGGGTAAAATGCAAGCATGCAGACATGAGGCCAAACTCTCAGGACCCACCTGAAGCCAGACACAGATACAGGAGAATCTCCAGTAGCTCACAGACCAGCTAGCCTGGGATACCCAGCCGTGGCAAACCACAGAAAGACGCTGTCTGTAACAAGGTGGAAGGGGACGGCCAATGCTTGAAGCTGACCTCTGTGGTACATGGCTGCCCACTCTCCAAAGGATTTTGAAGAGACAGACATGAGCTTAAATACTGAAACCAAAGTTGAGTTGTATGCCCAAAGTATTTTGGGGGGTCAGCTGTAGGACTCTTGCTTTTTGGCAACACTACAACTCTTTTTTTTTTTTAAATGGAATACTCCATAGAGCACCAGTATTTGAAACAGATAAAAAAAATATATTCTAATGGAGAAAGTTACAGGAGACCTTCAAGTGATGTCAGGGAAGAGGGGTTAGAAAGACTGTAAGCGCAGAGGCCAGGGAGGACTGGGGCAAGACCGTAGCTTCCAGATATGACAGAATCATTGCACTGTCCACTCATGGAGGCTGCAGTTGCTTACCCAAGACCTATGTAAGCTCAGTAACCTCAAGTCAGCATGGGTGGGGGAGGGACACTTGAGAGCCCACCCCTGGGTGAAGAAGTATCAACAGCTGATGGCTTGGGGGTGAAGGACTCGGTTTCCCTTAGCAGTATGGGAACTGGGAGGTTGTTCATGCTATAACGGAGGACCACACCCATGTGCCTACGGGCAGCACTCATCTGACTCAGGTTATAAAAGAAAAGGGGAGAAAGGGAACATGGAGTTGGGAAGGGGATGTGGTGGGGAATCTAGGGAAACGGAGAAGGAGGGAGTTAATTGAATATAGTTAAAAGAAATATACTGCGTACATGTGGGAAGTTCTCAAAGAAGCCATTCTTAAAATGATATTAAAAGAAACAATGCTTATGCCTTGGTCCCTTTCTTTTCCGATAGATCTTTGAGAACGTTTTTTCACTCGAAGAATGACCACTGAAAACACTATCCTGGGACAACTCTGCCGGTCCTCTGAGCTAGGCACAGGTTCTTGCTCTAGCGCTTTGAAATCCCCTAACCAGTCCCAGAACATCAGGCGCTCAGAGGACACTCGACATACCAATCTCTTTGCCCAGCTGGGAGGACTTCAGCGATCCCGCGGAGGAGACCACGGCACACCTGCGCCACGGCCCAGCCTTGGTCCGAATGTTCTCTTTGGGCAGGTAACCCTTCCATTCACTAGTGTTGAAGGGAAAATCTGTGGCCTCTACCATGGATACGTTCACATGGTCTCGAAGGTGGCAGCGCAGGGCCTCTGCACTGAGCTTGACTCCCGGCCCTGGCCCCTTGTACGACACTTTATACTTGTTCATGTTTAGATAATTCTTCAAGATCTTTTGCAGCCTGGGGTTCAGGTTTTTGGCTGAGGAGTCCTTGTCCCACACCTGGTAGGAGGAAGGTGGTGATTTGACGTTGGCCGTGCCCCTGAGATGACGGAGGATGTGACTGTCCTGCTTAGGGTCTTGTTTGCTGCTTGTAGACTGGAAACCAGATCCCACGGCCAGTCTCGACACCTGAAATTCCTTGGCTTGCAGTTTAAGAGCCTCATAGCTCCCTTTCTTCCACACACAGATGACTGCAAACAGGAGAAACACCAGGACGAAGTAGCTGAATTTTTTCTTCAGGTTGGTGTGAATCATAATGGAAGATAGAGCCAGGAAGGCCACCGTTCTGAGCAGGAGCCAAGCCTAAGAAAGGTAGAACAAGGGGAAGAACAATGATGGACAGGATATCCAAAGCAGCATGCAGCAGCGGGGGGGGGGGGGGGGGGGGGGGGGGGTGAGCCAAGCAAAGGATCTAGCATAAACGGACTTGAAGCCCAGCTCCGACAGCCTCCCACCAATGATGCATCCTTGAGCAAGCTGGGGGGAGGGGCTCTGAATGTAGACAGTAGACAGCATTCCTCTGAACTCCTGCCTGAGCCCTGAGCATTTATGCACCTTCCCCCGCCCCATTTAGTCTGTACACTGTGACTCTGGAGCTCTGGTATTCTGCTCTAGCTCTCTCCAAAAGCTTAAAGCAGACTCTCCTATCATTCCACTCCTACAGCCCATGCTCTCTGTGAAACAAAGACTTGTTTGTTTCTTGCTTGACAGCCTCAGTAACAAGAGAGCAGACTGTATACAAGACCCAGCCTCTAGGAAGTCCTACATCAGTTAAAAGAGCCAGAGAAATCCCCCATGCACTTGCTATACACTCCTGGAAGACCTACGATCTGGGACGTCTAGACAAGAGTTAGCCTCTCAGTCCAACACTCCGTGTGCCCGAATAGCTAGATCATTTTTATTGCAGAGGATAGGAAATCTAGGTAAGATAGAAGGAGTCCCCTTTCTATCTGGGTAAAGGGTTACTTTGTTTTCTCAAAATCCACTGTGTAACTAAATGGAAGAGGGAGCACTTTGAACTCAAACAAGGTCTGTATCCTTTGGAAAACACTAAATTCTTTCTTCTCCTGAGGTTATGCCCTGTACTGAGTCAAAGCCATTGCCCCAGGGGCTTTGCTTATACTGGGAGTCGGACACCCTTTCCCACCAAGCTTGTTCCCAAGGATGCTTGAGATAAAGCAATAGAACTACTAGACGGGAAATTCTTGAAACCTGGAGTCTTGATTCCTTTCTTAGGGACCTTGACCACATCAACACCTCTGCCCCGGAACATCTATAGAATAGTCCTGCCTGCCCACCTCCTCTGTGGTGTGTGGGCAGTGTTAAAGGGTGTGCTAGCCCGCTGGCAGGTGGGCAGCAATGGGCTGAGTGAAAGGCAGAATGGGGGTTATTTTAGAAGCGGTTAGAATGTGCTTAGAGGGAGAAGATTTCAGATGCAACCTCATGACGTAAGAGACCAAAGGCTTGTTACACCTTTGAAAAAAAATTAAATTTCTCTAGACATTCACTTGCACTAACCACATGACCATATGACAGCTCAAGAGTCACTAGAGGGGAGATAGCATTTAAGAAACCCTACTACAGCTGGGCCCTGAGTGGTGGCGCATGCCTTTAGTCCCAGCACTAGGGAGGCGGAGGTAGGCGGATCTCTGAGTTCGAGGCCAGCCTGGTCTACAGAGTGAGTTCCAAGACAGCCAGGGCTACACAGAGAAACCCTGTATTGAAATAAAATAAATAATAATAATAAAAGAAAGGAAGGAAGGGAGGGAGGGAGGAAGGGAGGGAGGGAGGGAGGAAGGAAGGAAGGAAGGAAGGAAGGAAGGAAGGAAGGAAGGAAGGAAGGAAAAAACCCTATTACTCAGACACTGTATCTGCAATGTCTCACCAAACAGACACTACAAAGTAAATTTTTCCGACTCTGTGGGTGAATGAAGACTTTAATAGTCTTCTCCAGTGCCATCAGCTCACCACACTGCTAGAACAGGGATTCCAATTCAGGCCAGTCTGTATCTAATGGTGAATAGCAGCATTTCTCAACCTGTGGGTGGAACCCTTTGGGAGTCACATGAGTATCAGCTGTTTATATTAGGATTCATAACACTAGCAAATTCACAGTTATGAAGTAGCAACAAAATCATTTTATGGTTGGGGATCACCACAACACGAGGAACTGTATTAAAGGGTCACAGCTTTTCAAAGACTGAGAACCACTGGATGATAGTCTTTACACTGAAGGACAGAAATCTTCAGTCAGGATCAGTAAACAGTAAGTGTTGACCATCAAACTGAGAAGCTAGAGTTCCCAAGGATGAAACTCTCAGAGCAAAGCATCCTGAATCAGGCACCATTGGTGGGCTCTTTCATATGAATTAAGTGTTATACTATTCAGGGTGGTGCTCCCATGGGCTCCATGTGTAGGCTGGGTGAGCGATTCTGAACTCGTGTGAATGGTGTAGGAATGGGGAGCTGGAATGTGACTTACAATCCTAAGCAAGGGGTGAAGGCGGAGAGGGCCCCACTTCACTATTCTAAGGGTGGAGGCTCAAAGGAGGCTGCCATTCCCTTTTCCAGGATGCTTAGGAAAAAGAGTTTCCACGGATGGCCGTCTCAGAGCCCTCAGCTGGCCTGGGCTTTCATGTCCTTACCACACTCATCTGGAACCTTCCATCAGTGCTTGTGTGGTCTCTCCATATTGTCTTCATCTAAGGCCAGCCGGGGTTTCCAGTATGGCCACTTCGAGGTAAAGGGTCCATTCTCACTTGCCTAGCTCTTTGAGCAATACAGACACAGAAGAAGGCCTCACCTAACACCTACCTCAGAGAAAAGAGAGGTGACTGAGCTTTTCTCCAAAAAGTTTTGAAAACCAGTATATGGCTTGATTTTTTTTCTATCGCCAGACTTATCCTAAAAGCTGCCAGGCTTTGTAGCCAATCAGTTCTCTGCCTTTGATTTTCAGCACAATTTCTACTTGTTAGGAAGTCATGTCTAAAAAGCTTGGGTGTTGAGCCTAGCCCTTATTCAGAGGAGAATGCTTCCTGGTATTGGGTTTGAATAATTGACCCCAGAACTGACCCTGGAACAGCGCTGTGGGACAATGGTTTTACCATATAAGCATTTGTTTCTCGTACTTGTTTAATAAAATGCTGATTGGCCAGTAGTCAGGCAGGAAGTATAGGTGGGGTGACCAATGAGAACAGGAGAATTCTGGGAAAAGGAACGAGTCAGTCTGCTGCCGTCATTCAGACAGAGAAGAAGCAAGATGTTACTGCCTTGCCAAAAATGGTACCAAGCCACATGGCTAACACAGACAAAAATTAAGGGCTAATGTAAGTTATAAGAGTTATAAGAAGCCTGAGCTAATAAGCCAACCAGTTTATAATTAATCGAGACCTCTGTGTGTTTCTTTGGGGCTGAATGACTGCGGGACCAGGTAGGACAGAAACCCCAGTCAACAGAATAGAGTCATGTTCAGTGAGGGATTAGTGAGCTGACAAAGCTAAGTCCAATGAACTCCACAGGAGGCTTCTAGAAAAAAGAATACTGCAGCCATACACATCAGCACCGACAGAGACCAATATAAACATTAAAGATAAGCTCTGTAAGCTGAGATTTCTGCCCCATCTACTTCTTAAGGCATGTTTAATGTCACATGCAGTGCTTGGTCTATAAACGCTCTCATAAAAGGCTGTCAATTATAGAACAATACAGACTTTATAACTGCAGCTTCTGGCATTGGGCGAGCCTGTTATGGCTACCTTCTTGGTCCTCACTGAACAAGTGCTTAGGAGACTAGGAAGAAACAGAGGGAAGCGGTGAAGCTTGGTGGGACAAGGAAGACCCGAGTCGCTTGCCAGCATAGCAGGGCCCACGTTGTTCCACGCAGGAAAGCCACCCTCTACTCTCTCAAACTTCTGGGAGTGTCTTACCTGCTTCTGGCTAATCCCTCTGGGGCTGCAGGCCTTCCAGGTCCTCAGGAGCCAGCACTATTCTCCATTGGAAAGAGGTTTACTTGATTAGGTCTGGAGGCCAGGGCTCATTTTTCTCAGGATGATCAAAAACCATCTTAAATGCAAACAAAAAGGGGAGGTTAGAATGATTTTTCTAGCAGGGTAGTGTTAAATATTAACAGGATGGATGGGCACTTCTGTAGCTGTGGGGTACGGCATATTCCAGGAAGCAGAGCGCGCAGGAAAGGTAAAAACAGATTACAGAGGCAACACTCGATATCCGTGGACGGTGCAGAGAACCTAGAAAACAAATCGTGCCAAACAGGGATGCTTTAGAACGATAAAGTGGACACTACAAAGCCATCGGGAAAGAAGCCTGTGATTAATACCTCCTCAAGAATAAATAGCAAAAAAGGTTCACCCCCCGCCAAAATGCTTCGGATAGATTTTTTTTAATTATTTATTTGTACAGAATATTTAATGATATGGGGAAGTTCAATTCATGTATTTGTAACACGGGTTATGGAACTGCAAATGCTATTCAAGTTCAGAAATAATACTTTAAAAAGAAAAATCAAGTACCAGGGAAGAGTGGTGCCTAGGACTGTGGAATAAGGGACGTTTCCATCTTTGACGTTTGTGTGCATGCACGAATATCTAAAATAGAGATGAATTACTCTTTAAGAAAAAGAATGAACCAAGGAATAAAGCTAAGTGGTAGAGTATCTGTATGGTAAACTTACAGCCCTGGGCTTGATTCACGGTGCATCAAAAAATAAAATCCAAGTTTTATATGGTTAGCATAACATATATAACATTTTTAAAGCTAAAATCAGAACTCACCCTATATTTATTGAGTCTTTCTCGTTTTGATGATAGATAGATAGATAGATAGATAGATAGATAGATAGATAGCAATGGAAAATCTAAATGAATTTAATTGTAAGAAAATTTAAAAAATAAAAATAAAGAGGGCTATATTTTTTAATATGGTAAAAAAGCCTCTCAAAAGGAAGAGTAGAGCAAGTAGGAGAGATAAATCATAAATTAAAAACAACAGTTGAGAAGCATATGATATTTAAGATTGTTCTTAAGCGAGCCCTAGAAGGAGCGTTAAAATAATAGTTTATAGACTTGACAACACTTGGCGGTCTTGAAAACAGTCTTATGCACTCCTGGGCAAGCCACAGTAAAGTTGTCAGGCCACTGAAGGAGGAGTAAGCAGCTTAACCCTTCTAGAAAAGTACTCAGGCTTTAAGATCTAGTGACTATTGATCAAACTGCCACAAATCTAGGGCTGAAAAAAAAAAAAAAACCAAAAGACAAAAAAAGAACAGAGGAAATATGCTTTTCAGTCTCCTCAAATGTAAAATGAGTCCCTACCTCCTACCCCCGTGGGGATTAAAAGAGGATTAATGAGGAAAGAATGTGAAATCTGTAAAGCCATAAGTGTATAAAAGGAACAGGGTTTTAATCTCAAACCTATTTATAACGGTGAAAACCTATTGACTTAACTTCTAAACACCCCTTAAAGTTACACCCACGTTTTGTAACTACATAGAAGAAAACACTTAAAATATTTTAACAGAAACACAGAACATGCCATCCATACACACATGATCTCAGTCACAGGTCATGCATGTTCAAGAGTCAGGCCTGGAAAGTTGGTGAAGAGCTGGCATTCTTTCTTTTTCTGACTCTGTTGGTTAACTAAGGCGAACTCTTGGGGACAATACTGAAAATACACTTCATCCTGTGCTTCAGTTGGCTGCATAACTGTGAGCTGGCCTAGAAGCCTATTTCAGGACATCTAGCGTTGTAGACTATAACCTTGGGCCAAGGAGTCTCCTAAGACTCAGCTAGTTTTCCTGTAAAATGAAACCCAGAAGAGATCCTATCACAAAGGACTAGCCACACTCACAGGGTTAACCTCGGTACCCTTACAACCAGCGTTGCCAGCAAAATGGAGAAGATGCTCCACTGAAGACCATGGGCTCTGGCTGTAAGAAGATGTTACTGTCATGAGCAGGAGCAAGACAGAAGCAGGCTCTAGGCATGGCAGGAGCACATGTGAAAGAAGCCATTTGGTCCTTTACCAAAGAGTGTGGTGGGATTTTATTTGTGCTTTAACAAATAAAGCTTGCCTGAAGATCAGAGAAGCAGAGCTGCCAGCCATTAGTTCTTACCTCTACGAAATCCTCAGACTGAATAGGGCATCCTGTCTCTACAAATCCTCAGACTGAAGCCTGAGCTCCTGTCTCCTCCCACCTCACCTTCCTCTCTCTGCCCAGCCATATCACTTCCTGTCTCCACCTCCCTATCGGGATTAAAGGTGTGAGCCAACACCTCTTGACTCTGTTTCTCTTTTAGACTGATTCAACCTTCTGTAGCCCAGGGTGACCTTGAACTCACAGAGATTCATCTACCTCTGTCTGTCTCCCAAGTGCTGAAATTAAAAATGTGTGCCACCAATGCCTGGCTTCTATGGCTAACTAGCATGGCTAGCTCCACACTCTGATCTTCAAGAAATCCGTATTTGTTAAAGCACAAACAAAATATCACCACAAAAGAGTTCAGGACTGGGGTTGGGGATTTATTTAGCTCCATGGCAGAGTGCTTGCTTAGTAAGTCCAAAGCCCTGGGTTCAGTCCTCAGCCCAGAGGGAGGAAAAAAACGTTCAAGGCTTTCTTTACCAATTCAGAGAATAACTGGATTTGGAGCAGTCTCCTGGAAGAATCAGACAATTTCTCTGACAGTTCCCCCTCCATTCATAAGTTCCTTTGTGGTGTCAGTATTTACCACTGTATGTGCATTCATATTCATTGATGGCTTCCTCTTTCCATTACAGTTATAAGAGACCTTGTTGGCCTTCTTTAATGCTATAATAGTTATCAGTTATCATAATATTTTAATATAATATATTAATATAATATAATATAATAGTTATCAGTGAGTAACTCGAGACCCTTGGGGAGCATTGAGCACATAGTAGGAGCTCAGAAAGTGTCTGCTGGATGAAGCAGGTCTTCAAACAGGTTTGCTTACTCCAGGCATTGTGGACAGAAGAGGCTCTTTCATAACCCCCTCAGAGAGCACTGACCCTTGGATGAACCTCTTGCCTGCAGATGAAAGTTTCCCGCCAATCTGTTGGGACATGTGATTTCTGATTGGGTAACACCCTCAGACATCAGAAGTAGCCACCTACTCCAGTTCTTCCTTCGCCACGTCAACTGCATTTCCTCAGAAAGCCTTGCTTCCTAAAATGATTGAAAGCCAAGCCTAACTTGATCCCCAAAAGTAAACCAGTTGAGGATGTCTGTCCAGATCTATCATGGGTCAAGAAGGGGCTTCCAAAAGATTCACTGCCACTGATGAGATGGTGAGAGTCTGGTGATCTTCAGCCAACTGCAAAAGTGAGTCCAGGACCCTTGGCTCTGAACGACAAACCAACCACTGTGATAAGGACAGTGACGATTCATTTAGCATTGGGTACATGCTGAGCATTGACCCGAGTTTACAGTTCAGAGCACATTCCTTGTTATCGGTCTGATCTGGGGGAAGAGTCCATGCTCTGCCTCTCACCAGTCTGGTGATCTTGGTTGACTCAAGCCCCAAGACTTGGCTAGCACACGGTAAAGTGAGGATGGTGACTGACCCTATATCCCAGGCTTATTTTAAAAACCAAGTAAAATGAGAGGCCCCCAAGGGACTGCAACAGCCACAATAATAAGTGTGTGCACATCAGTTCACTGACGTCACCAGCCCCTACTCTGTAGAGGCCAATACTATCCCAGTGTTACAAACAGGGGAACAGACAAAATAATAATAATAATGATAATAATAATAATAATAAATCTAGAGAACTCTCAATGTTCCAGGCCCCTTTGACCTTTAACTTTTTTTCTGTGTGGACTGTCTTTCATGTGGGCTATGCCCACTTCACCTTCTAACACCAACTCCTATCTTTTAAGTTTTCCTTGTTCTCGGTTTAGTTTGTTTGTTTTTGAGTCAGGGTTTCTCTGAGTAGCCTCGGCTGTCCTCAAACTTGCTCTGACAACCAGGCTGGCCTTGAATTCATAGAGATCCACCTGCTTCTACCTCCTGAGTGCTAGAATTAAAGGCGTGCACCACCACCACCCGGCTCCTCATTCTCATAGAGACCATTGACTCTAATGTGCCTATTCCAGTCCTCTTCAAACTATGGGACAGCTCCCTGATTGCAGATCTGTTGCACCCACATAGAGAATTCTTCCTTTCAGACATCTCTGCCTCCCTTCACCTTGCCTGTAATTATGAAAGACTCAGTCATTTTTAAAGAAAGAATAAATTGCCTTTGGCACAGCCCCATCAACCCTTCCCAAGCTGTTGCTCCTCTCCTTACCTCTCTTTGACTAGTGTTGCCTTAGCAGCTTCCTTCTCAGAGCCTGGGCATAGACCAACCAGCTGTGTCCTTGTGTAGTATAGGTCCGTGGTAGGGGAAGGAGGTTCTGGGTTTGAGTCTCAGGACACAAAGCAACAAAAGAGCACCCATGGTGCTTCTTAAATGCATACTGCTCATCCGCAGCATAGACTCTTTAGATCAGAATTATCTAGATTGCTAGAATTCCCTTTCAAGCATTTTGCAGGTGAGCTTTTTGTCTGTGGGTTATTCGAGACAACAGGAAGATTTCCACCTCTAGTGGTACATGGCTGTGCAAGCAGAAAGACTTGAACATGAAAGAAAAATCACCTTCCCAGTAAAAAAATACACTGGGTGGCTTAAGCTCTGCTCTCTGAGCCATGTCGGCTCAGAATGACAGCCACTGACACCTGCTCAGCACATGGACCTGAAGGCTGTGGGAAGAACCCTTTCATAGCATCCTTGCAGCAAAGACTCTGGATGGTCTATGCCATTGACTCCTGCATCCTGCTTACTGTTGGCATCTCCTCTCTAATCCAGAAAAAGATGCTCCTTTTCAATCGGGAAAATTTTTCTACTGACTCACTGTCACTTTCTCCAACACTTTGCCTGTCTCGACGCTCAGTGATATTCTTTGCTATCTGAATGTATCCTAGTCCCCAGGCCTCACAGTTCTTCAGTCTACTCTACTAGAGTTGATTGAGATCTCAGCCACT